TATAATTCTGAACGGTCTTTTCCCCGGCAGAAAACAGATCTTGTGTGGTAAAAAACTTTGGAGCTATTTCCAGCAAACAGCAATATTATCTCAGAGAAGGCAAGTCTAATTTGTTTGACTTTTCGATTTGCAAAAATAAATAAAAATAGCTTCCACATGGATTTCCTACAAATAGATTTTATGCTAATTTTCAGAAATTGCTTATTATCTCTGCATTATCAGATATATTAGAGCTATAACCCTGCTTAGAAATGGATCGCTCTGATTTTCCGATGTCCTGTGGGTTATGAGTGGGAGGGAGTACAGAATATGGCAGGAGATACGTGTGTCTGTGCCCGTGTCTGCTGACAATCTGGGACACAGTAGGCATCTCAGTTTTATTTTGTTTTGTCTTTTGTCTTTTGGTGTTAAATAATATGACTTTTAAAAATTTTAATCATTTGATAGCCAGAGAGAAAGGGAAACAGATAAACAAAAAACGATAGACAGAGAGAGAGAGCTCCTATCCACTGGTTCACTCCCCAAATGCCCCCAGTGGGCCAGAATAGAGCAGGCTGAGCTTGGGAGACTGGCACTCAATTTGGTTCTTCCACGTGAATGGCAGAGACCCAAGTATTTTATCTACCCTGCTGCCTCCAAGGGTGTACTTCAGCAGGAAGCCAGGTTGCCAAGACCTCTCATGTCTATTGCACTCCTATTAACATAGTTAAATGAACAGTTCTCATCCTCTAGTCTTCCCTTAAACCCATTCTATGCAGAAACTAGAAAGCCTAAGCCATGAGGTTGCAAAACACAGAGGTCTTGCATCTCATACTGCTGGGAGCTGACTGAGTGTGGGTGGATGAGATAAAGGAGGAACTCAAGGAAATCCCACATCTCTGGCTTGATGGCCTGGACACGAACAGTAAGGGCCAGAGAAAGAATTATGTGTGCACAAATAGTTAGACTGTTAGATAAAATGTGAGACGTGGAAGAGGGAGCCTGTGGGGTTTGGTTTCATTTCACTTTTCAGAGAGTAGTGGTGACTTGTCCAGTGTGTCTCCAGATCACAATTTCTAGATTCTGGAGAAGGTTCACTTGCTACTGTTACTCAAATTAGCTAACGACATTTTGGAATGTGTTTTAAACTAAGTTTTAAACAGATCTATGGAAAGCAAAGACAGTAGGTTACGAGAAAGAAAATCAAACGAAAAAAAATTTGCAAATGGAATGATAAAAGATTCCACTAGCGTGTATGTCTGTTTCAGGACTGAGTTAATTAAAATTACTGGGCTGAATTCCTGCCCACTTTCACAACCCCCGAAATGAATCTGCCATTTCCCTTCCTTTCCCCTGCAGATGAAACCTTGATAGGTCAGAATGATTATTGAAACTTCCTCTAACCTACTGACTCTATTTTTAATGCAAATACATGAAATCATAATGTTTGCTATATTTATCCCTATTTATTGAGATATGAATAACAATATTCAATATAAAAGAAATATTTAGTGCACACTGGTGGGTTTTCAGACATTGTTAAAGGTACTGAGCTTTATGGTAGAACAAAGCAGTCTCTGATGGATACATTCATAGAAGACAAGTAGTAAAACAAGACAAACATACCATTATGTCAGACAGAGGCAAGCGCTATAAAAAAGAATAAAACTGGGTGACTGGGGAGAAGATGGCAATTGAAATATTTTGCAAAGAACCATCACTATGTCTAAAATATTAGCATCTGACTTAAAAGATATGTTGATTTGCATTTATGTAAAATTTATTAATCTAAGAAAATTCAACCTTGAAGTATTTTTAAATATTAGTATTAAAGATATAAAATATTTCAAACTCTTTAAATGATATGTATTTGCATAAATTATGTAAAACATATGTATATCATTATGCATAAATATGTACATACATATAATATACATATGAGCATATATTTAATGTAAGGATTATTTCATACAGTGGCTAAAAGATAGCTTGGTATATGCATAAAATCCAACATGTGCAGCAATCTATCACCCATCAGTATTGGTGATCTCTTGCACTTGGGATTCACTTTCTACTTTCTATATTTCTGTGCTGTTTAATTTATTTCTATGAAACAAGAAATATTGCATTTATAGTAAAGTATATAAAATGTATTTTTTAAATATTTAGATAATAAACACTTTTCCAAAATATCTTATCCAGATTCAGAAAGTAAAGACTAGGTAACAATAAAATTCTAACCGAAAGTCTTCTCTACCATGATGATTTTGATGAATTGGGCACATTTCCAGCTCTCTGAGTCATTGTTAGAAACAAAATTGTAGAAACACTGTGATTTTACATTCGCTTTTTGACTAGCCATTATTGTTTTTCAGATTGCTTAAACAGTTCAACCATACATATTTAATCACTGCATTGAAAACTTAATTCTAGGGAGGGATAAGCAATCAAGATAATAGGAAAAAAATGACTTATCCTAAAATAAATACAACATATTATTAGATGTAAAATAAAATGTTAATGTATTTATATAGGAAAAAGAACTAAAATCTGGCGATGCTATTTCCATTGGTATACAATATAGCAGACTCTTAATGTGTGTATGGGATGCGTTTAAGTATACATTGTATATCATTGATTATTCCTAGGAATTTTATTATTTCCTAGTCAGCTCTGAGCTCACACACACAAGAGAAATTCTGGTATGTGGAAACATTTAACTCATTTGTGGAACAACTCTGAGTTCCTAGCAGAGGGGTATGTCTTGCAGAGTGTTTTATCACGTGCCCAGCTGCCCATGGGCATCCACCATGTGTAACATGAGACCTGGTCCACAGGGATGGCTTTCCTTCATGCGTTTATGAATATCTTGGGACCGACAAAAAATAAACCACACTCGCATTTTCACATTGCCCTAAAAGCAAGGCAGAAAATATCAACATTGCATAGATTAGCATGCAGAGCCTAAGACTGAACATAGACTCCTTTTAAGGAGAAAATACCAGCCGTGATTTCTTCCTCTAAGCTCCAGGAGCATTTACTTGCTGAATGAGAAATATTTTATGTCAATTAATATATATTGAAAGTGTATAAAACAATGATGTGTCTATTATTCAACTGCCACCGATATGAAATTGACTCCAAAATTACTTTCTGGAGTTCAGAATTTACTTCCGTCTTCTGTTTTTCATTTATTCACTTTTCAAGGCAAAAAGTAGTTTCTGACAACTGCTAGATTATGAATTCAACCTGAGATCTTATAACCTGATTCCATTTTTTCTCCTCTTTGTCTCTCATGGATGATAAAGATACTACCATTGGAATTCAGCTGTGACAGTATAGATAATTAAGCTAAAATATAATTGTCTTTGCAGTGTTAGCAAAAGCCAAAATTCAATGGTTGATTTTTTTTCTCCCATATCAAAGTAAACCTCTATGATTTAGCAGCTCAGATAATGAAATTCTGTTGACTAAGAAAGAACTGACAAACAGAATCAAAAATTAAAGTTCACAGTTATGGTTTTCTTTCTGTACTTTTTATAATATAAAACTGCCTAAATTGTCACTTAGAAGCATAAATATTTAAGAAAACAGAATACTATTTTTATAACACATGAAAGCCATCTATGAATTGAAAGGAAAATTTAGATTTATTTTTAAGTCATATTTGAAATAACTGTATTCACAAAACCTCGCTTCATAGAATCAGGTAAGAGTAAAGCTGAGTATGACAAGTAGTGTGCACAGAAGACTGAATGTGGCTACGTAGCTGTACGCCTCCCTTGTGCAAAGGGATCTGTTTGGTGGTATGCTCTACTTACAAGGCAAGCCAAGGTATTCCCCATGGTGACTGAAGTAAACAAGTGCCAGAGAACTAGGACATGAACGAGAAAACATTTCCTTCACAGGCTTTAAAGTTGCTATTTATTTTCTCCAGTGTCTCCCTGTGGAATTCTTCAGCCAGACCTTGCCCAAAATCTAAAAGTTGTCTTTGTCCAGACATAACTCTAAATTAGTAATTATTCAGTTTGACTAGGTTTTCCATGATTTAGAAATTAAAAGATAATAGAAATGGATTTTTAAAATGTTTTAAGCTTAGATAATGATAATGACTAAACTTTTGTTCGTACTCAATATTTCATCTGAATCATTGCAATTCATCTTTGAGCTCTTCCATGATTGGGAACTCATTGACCAACACTGCATATTAAATATCTCATTTTTCACTTCTGGGGTGAATCAGTAGCTGATATGAAACTATTCCACACAATCCCCTGTTTCTGAGAATGCTAACAAAGTTGTCATCATCTCTAAAGAAATTATAAACTTTCACTTTAATGTAATACCCTAAATTCAAATTAGAGCTGCTGGAGCCATAGTGTAGAGCAGATATTGTATCTCCTAACTGATACGGGAGACTGAGAATGTCTGTTAATTGTAGTAAAAAATACTGGTGCCTAATTCTCATTCCAAATGCAAGGATCTGATAAGAAATCTCAGATTAAGAACAAATTTGAAGAAACTTCCTAAAGATCAATTGGTTAGAAATTCTAAATCTATAGCAATATTTACTAAAAATATAGAAGAACATAAAAACCATTAGAAAAATGAGTATATCATCAAAAACTACATACCAAGTATCTTCATTATTTAAAAACCATGAAAGCTTTTTTTTTTCTTAAGAGAAACCTGCCAAATTTTGTAATCTTTAGGGAGATAAATAATTTTACTTTTTTGTACTAAATTTTAGATTTTCAAGTTAAAGTTAGGGAAATATGAGCAGTATACTTGAGGTAAAATTTTATATTAATATAGACTTTTATGATCATTCTTTATCAATTCTCCCCATAAAAACCCCATCAGGACACACAATAAATTGAAAGAAGGAATAGAATGAGAATCAGGGACTCTAGATTTCCCAGTGAAAGCACTTTATTTCTTACTTATTCTGTGGACACACTCATTGGGAGTGGATGATAATATACAAAGATCCAAACTAACGTGTTCTTTCTTTTTTTTAGGGGCTGACGTTATCAACTTTGATGGCCATGTTGTGTTACCATATAGATTCAGAAACAAGAAGATGAAGACACTGAAAGATGTCATTGCCTTGAAATTTAAAACCTCTGAAAGTGAGGGGGTAATATTGCACGGAGAAGGACAGCAAGGGGATTACATTACTTTGGAGCTGAAAAGAGCCAAGCTGGTCCTCAGTTTAAACCTAGGTATGCTCCAACTGTGAACAGTATTTTTGCTTATTAAATTCCCACTAGAAAATGTTAATGTTGCTAAAACTTTAAAATGTAAGTTCTATAAAGAATTCACAATGTGCTATAATTCATTTTTAAGCCATGGTGGTTAGTAGGCATTGATATGCTTCCTCCTTCAAACAGTGTTGATTAAGCATCTATCCTGTGCAAGGTACTAGCCTCTAGCACAGCAGGGAGCTAACAGACAAGGTCCTTGAGTTCATGACCTGTATGACCTAACAGAAGAGTCAGACATGACCTCTATATTACCCATCATAATGATTTTACAACTAAATAAAAATAAATGCCTTAACATCAGTATTATAAATAAATAGAGATAAAATTATAAATAAATAATAGAGATTATAAAATCAGTTATATTATTTCATATGATAAGGATCAAAGATCAGCCTCCTCCTTGCAGAGGCAATGGGGCCATCATTAGAATGTGTAATGAGGAAAGTCCTCTTGGAGAGAAAAGACTCAAGCTGAGAGCTGAGTGATAAAAAGATCCAGCCACGAGATCACCAAGGGGAGGAGGGCTTCACAGAAAGAGCTCACTGAAGACAGAGGCCAGTGGAGATACATCCAGTGAGTTCTCAGAATAGGAGCTGAAAACTAAGAGTTGGAAATTGTCCAAACCCTGTATGATCCTGCAGGGCGCGGTAAACCACTTAGATATCATTTGCAAATGAGAAGTTATTGGAAGGCTTTAAACTGTACAGTATTACACTCATATTTTAAAAGTTGCTTGTGTTGGCACGAGAATCAAACCAGGACTTCTGCATTGTCTCTGTGCAAAATGGTAGTGGCTGGCATGAGGTCGTTAGCAATGGAGATGCAAAAAATTTGTTTATTTTAGTGGTAAAGTCATCACAACTTGGTGATACATTCAATATGATGCAACAAGAAATATGTGAATACAAAGAATTATTCCTACAACTTAGGCTTGAGCACCAAATAGACTTTAGTGCCATCTTCACAGAGAAACCTATCAGAGGAACTGTGGAGATGTGTTTGAGCATGGTGCATTTGAGTTGTCCAATATACAACCAAGTTGTCTTATATAGATGTGTACAGAGTTTTCTATTGTGGAGTTGCATATGTAAGACTGAGAGGAAAAAGTGCTTAAATGGAGAATAAGAAAAATCATACAGGGAATAGGAAGAAGCAAAGAAGGTGAAGCTTCGCAGAGACCAAAGAGAATAAAAACATACGGCCAAATGTGTTCAATTCCTTTAAAATATAATTTAAAAAGAAGACAGAGAAGTGAATTTGTGCTTTGGTAGCATGGAAATCATTACTAACTTACTCTCAGGGTAACAGAAAGGATAGAAGTGTTACCAACTTTTTTAGATAAAGAAAGAATGAGAAATAAGGAAAGAAATATTTTGAATATAATGAACTAAAAATAAAGGAAATGGAGAAATGCAATGTTGCCTAGACAAAGAGATGAACTCAAAGGAATTGTTTTGTTTTTTGCTATTTTTAAGTAGGCAATATTTATGCATGTGTGTATGTTGCTAATTTGGCTAAGATTTACTTAAAGCTAAAGAAGAGATCCACAATCTAGGGATTGTCATTCAAAAGTACAATTTGTGCAAAGCAATTATACCTTTTTCTCTTGCTTGGCTAAAAATTTCAGATTCTCCATAAGCATTATTTAAAGGGTATGTTGCATTCCATATATTTTCTGTTGCAGCAATATAAGAACTCTGCACATATTTTATGTTGTAAAATATATGAATAACCACAATTCATCCATTAACTGTACTACAATAGAAAGACACAAAACTAAGAACACCAAAAAGAGATCATGCCTATTTGCTTCCTTGCCAGTTACAAATTTGAATGGTCTAAACCTTCTTAAATATGACTTGTACCCCATATGTTAACTTTTTTATGCATTCACTTTATTATATTTTTAATTTATTTTTAAGGAATGAAATTTCATAAGTACAACTTTAGGAAAATGGTTATTCTTCCCAGCATACCTGCCCTCCCAACCTTCCTCATCCTCCCTCTCCCATTCCCAGTCCCATTTTCCACTGAGATTTATTTTAAATTAACTTTATACACAGAAGACCAACACAGGGCCAGTGCTGCGGCTCAATAGGCTAATCCTCCACCTTGTGGTGCCGGCACACCGGGTTCTAGTCCCGGTCGGGGTGCCGGATTCTGTTCCAGTTGCTCCTCTTCCAGGCCAGCCTTCTGCTGTGGCCCGGGAGTGCAGTGGAGGATGGCCCAAGTGCTTGGGCCCTGCACCTCATGGGAGACCAGGAGAAGCACCTGGGTCCTGCCTTCGGATCAGTGCAGCGCGCCAGCCGCAGCAGCCATTGGGGGGTGTACCAACAGTAAAGGAAGACCTTTCTCTCTGTCTCTCTCTCTCTCACTGTCCACTCTGCCTGTCAAAAAATTTAAAAATAAATAAATAAATAAAAAAGGAGACCAACACTATACTAAGTGAAGATTTCAACAATGTACACATACACACACACACACACACACAAAAACAGTTTGAGAACTAGTTTTACAGTTAACTCTCATAATACAGCTCATTGAGGTCAGAGGTCCTGCATGGAGAGTTAGTACACAGTGAATCTTGTTGTTAATTTAACAGTTAGCACTCTTATGTATGACATCAGTGACTACCCAAAGTCCTTGCCATGAGCTGCCTAGGCTATGGAAGCCTTTTGAGTCCATGAACTCTGTCAGTATTTGGACAAGGGCATAAGCAAAATGGAAGTTCTCTCCTCACTTTAGAGAAAAGTACATCCTTCTTTGATGGCCAGTTCTTCCCAAGGGGATCTCACTCACAGAGATCCTTCATGTAGAACATGTTTTGCCACAGTGTCCTGGCTTTCCATACCTGAAATGCTCTCAGGGCTTTTCAGCCAGACCAGGAAGACTTAATGGCTGATTCTGAGCTCAGAGTGTTCCTTAAAGCGATTGTCATTCTATGAGTCAGCTGTGTGGACTGCTTCCCATGTTGGAACATTCTGTCCTTTTGAATTCAATCTATGATTATTACCAGACACTTGATCCTATTTATATGATCACTTTAACATTTAATCCTATCCATAGGTTCACTTTAGCACTTAATATGATCCCTTTAACAATTAACATGTCATTTTTACCAGCAAGCTTAATGGGATTTGGAGTCCCATGCAAGGTTTTTAAACTGTACCCTTAGAAGTAACTCCATAGGAATGTATGCAGAATTATATAGCTTTACAGTAACAAATTTCCTCCTCCCTCTCATATTCCCACCCTTATTTTTTACTGAAATCTATTTTCATTTTTTTTTTTTTTGACAGGCAGAGTTAGACAGTGAGAGAGAGAAAGACAGAGAGAAAGGTCTTCCTTTTTCCTTTGGTTCATCCCCAAAGTGGCCGCTATGGCCAGTGCGTTGCAGCCAGCGCACTGTGCCAATCCAAAGCCAGGAGCCAGGTGCTTCCTCCTGGTCTCCCATGTGGGTGCAGAGCCCAAGCACTTGAGCCATCCTCCACTGCCTTCCTGGGCCACAGCAGAGAGCTGGACCACAAGAGGAGCAACCAGGACAGAATCTGGCGCCCCGACCGGGACTAGAACCCGGGATGCCAGCACCGCAGGTGGAGGATTAGCCTAGTGAGCCACAGCGCCAGCCTGAGATCTATTTTCAATTGACTTTATACACATATGGTTAACTTTATGTTAAGAGTTCAACAAATAGTATGAAAAAAAAAGAAATTGTTCCTGGATAGTCAACAGAAGAGCAGCTCAAGTCATCCCTTCTTGAAGTGTCAATTTCACTTCTAGAGATTTAGTTTTAGGTGCTCTATTAGTTTTCATAGATCAGGGAGACCAATATAGTATTTGTCACTTTGAGACTGTCTTGTTTCACTATGTGTGATGTTTTCCAGATTCACCCATTTTGTTGCAAATGACTGGATTACATTTTATTTTACTGCTGTGTATTATTCCATACTGTACATATCTCATAATTTCTTTTTTATTTTTATTTTATTTTTTGACAGGCAGAGTGGACAGTGAGAGAGAGAGAGACAGAGAGAAAGGTCTTCCTTTGCAGTTGGTTCACCCTCCAAAGGCCGCTGCGGCCGGTGCGCTGCAGCCAGCGCACCAAGCTGATCCGAAGGCCAGAGCCAGGTGCTTATCCTGGTCTCCCACGGGGTGCAGGGCCCAAGCACTTGGGCCATCCTCCACTGCACTCCCGGGCCACAGCAGAAAGCTGGCCTGGAAGAGGAGCAACTGGAACAGAATCCGGCACCCCGACCGGGACTAGAACCCGGTGTGCCGGCGCCACAGGTGGAGGATTAGCCTGTTGAGCCATGGCGCTGGCCTTATATCTCATAATTTCATTATCTAGTCTTCAGTTTCTGAGCATTTAGGTTGATTCCAAATCTTAGCTATTGTGAATTGAGCTACAATAAACATGGAGGTACAAATAACTCTTTTGTTTACTGATTTCAGTTCCCTTGGATAAATTCCCAGGAGTGGGATGGCTGGGTTGTATGGTAGGTCTATATTCAGATTTTTGAGGTATCACCAAACTGTCTTCCATAGTGGCTTTACCATTTTGCATTCCCACCAACAGTGACTAAGTACCTTTTCCTCCACACCCTCACTAGCATTTGTTGTTGGTAGATGTCTGTATGAAAGCCATTCTAACTGGAGTGAGGTGAAACCTCATTGTGGTTTTGATTTTCATTTCCCTGACAGCTAGTAATCCTGAACATTTTTTCATGTGTCTGTTGGTCATTTGGATTTCCTCTTTTGAGAAATGTCTGTTTAAGTCCTTGGCCCATCTCTTGAGTGGGTTGTTTGTTTTGTTGTTGTGGAGTATCTTGATCCCTTTGTATATTCTGCTTATTAAATATTTATCAGTTGCATAGTTTGCAAACAATTTCTCCCATTCTGTCAGTTGCCTCTTCACTTTTCTGAGTGTACTTTTGTGTACAGAAACTTCTCAATTTGATGTAATCCCATTTGTTAATGTTGGCTTTGAATGCCTGTGTCTCTGGGTCTTTTCCAAGAAGTCTTTGCCTATGCAAATATTTTGCAGGGTTTCTCCAATGTTCTCTAATAATTTGAGGATGTCAAGTCATAGATTTAGAACTTTAATGCATGTTGAGTGGATTTTTGTGTAATGTGTAAGGTAGGAGTCTTGCTTCATACTTCTGCATGTGGAAATCCAGTTTTCCCAACACCATTTGTTGAAGAGACTGTCCTTTCTCCAGGGATTGGTTTTAGCTCCTTGGTGAAATATAAGTTGGTTATAGATGTTTGGATTGATTTCTGGCCACTGGTTTATTCTGTTCCATCCATTTTTGTACTAGTACCAGGTTACTTTGATTATAACTGCCTTGTAGTATGTCTTGAAATCTGGTATTGTGATGCCTCCAGCTCTTTTTGTTCTCCAAGACTGCTTTAGCTATTTGAGGTCTGCTATGCCTCCATATGAATTTCAGCATCATTTTTTCTAGCTCTGAGAAGAATGTCTTTGGTATTTTAATTGATATCTCATTGAATTTGTAAATTGCTTTTGGAAGAATGGAAATTTTGATGATATTTATTCTTCAAATCCATGAACTTGGAATTTCATTTTTTTGTATCTTCTATTTCTTTCTTTAATGTTTTATAATTCTCATTGTAGAGATATTTGTCATCCTTGGTTAAATTTATTCCAAGGTATTTGATAGTTTTTGTACCTATTGTGAATGGGATTAATATTAAAAACTCAGTCTTAACCTTGGCATTGCCTGTGTATACAAAGGCAGTTGATTTTTTGTGTATTGTATACTGTGGGCATCCACACCCTCCAACTAGGTCTACCATATCCTTCTGGCTTGTGTAGAGTCTCCTCTGCCGTTTTCTCCCTAACTCTTCCCTGAGACTGTACTCTCTACACTTTCTGTAAACTGTCTTCTGGACTAGAGCAGTAAGCTCCCTCCCTATCCACCATCTTGGAACTCAGTAGTGCCCATTCTCCCTATATGTTAACACTTGTTACTTTAAAATCAATATTATACTAAAATATGTAAATTCCATTAGTTTTTTTATAGGTAGTGACACATTGTTTTAAAGATATATCCTTTATTATAAAGCTCTTCACATTGAAAATCTGATTGGGTAGAAACCATAACTTCTACAAGAAAAACAATAGAATGGAATCAAATAGACTATCTGTATCAATTAATTATGAAGAAGTATACATTTATACACTAAAATAATCAGGAAAATACATATGAGGCCTAGGAAATTGCAAAAGTCACATATAGATGTTTAATGTAATTCATTAATAAGAAATAATAGAACCGGGTCCTAGTCCCAGTTGGGGTGCTGGATTCTGTCCCGGTTGCCCCTCTTCCAGTCCAGCTCTCTGCTGTGGCCCGGAAGTGCAGTGGAGGATGGCCCAAGTGCTTGGGCTCTGCACCCCATGGGAGACCAGGAGGAAGCACCTGGCTCCTGGCTTTGGATCGGTGAAGTGCACCGGCCATGGCAGCCATTAAGGGGGTGAACCAACAGAAGGAATACCTTTCTCTCTGTCTCTCTCTCCCTCACTGTCTAATTCTCCCTGTGAAAAAAAAAAGAAATAATAGCATTGTATAAGAATATTAAGGTGGTAGGAGGAAATATAGATTACATAAATAAAAGATAATCCATAAAAGAAAAAAACTCTAAAAATACTAAATGCTCAAACACATTAGCTATAAAGAAATATACAATAAAATAAAAAGTTATTAGTTCTTGTCAAGAAATATGTTTTAAATGTTAATATCAATGTTTTTAAGAAAGTGAGAAAAATAATATTTTATACCATTCTGTAACTCAAGAAATATTTTCAGAAAACAAAATTTGCAACACATCATCAGAGCCCACATATTTTGGCCTAGTAATCATAGGAGAAATGACAAATGATTATAAGAGATTTACATCCAAAGTAAGCTTGCAGTATTAATAGCAATGTCAAAAATTTGTTCGAAAAGTTAACTATAGAATTGTGTTAATGCAAATAAAATATCTCTGCTAACTTAATTTTGTGTGGAAATACAATAAAATATTAACTTAAATTTTATACTACACACATAAATACAATATTCATGCTTTTATAATAAGTATATTACAATATATGTATACCTATATAACATTTATATCTATAATTAAATATATGTTTATAAAAAAAGAACTGAAATGAGAATGAATGGTAGAAATAGTTGTGCTCATTTTGCTCACTAATTCTGCGTAGTATCTCCATTTGTAATAATGGATGTAATTATAAATAATAATATATAAGTACTTGTAAATATGCTTGTGCACATATGGTTAAATCATTGCTATGTGAGTAAATTATATCTAAAGATATTTATTTTTCAAATCTGTTTTCCTTTTTTTTCCCATATGAAGCATGTAGAATAAGCTTTTAATGTCAGCGGTTCACAGATGTGTGATATAACTGTTCTGAAACAAGCAGCAGATTATATGACCTCACAAAAAAGCTCATTATTTTCCACTGGAAAGATTAGTGACAGAGTTTTATTGACTGGAGAGAATTTATGAGCGACCCAGCCATACATATACTCAAATAATTGCTGTCACTCTTTAATGCCATTATCTAAATATCTGCTGCTCCATCTTCAGTATAAATATTTATACTAAGACTCAGCATAACCTTTTCATTTGGATTTTTTCCTACTTTTCTTCTTGCTTATTTCTCTCTCCTTATCCATCCTCCAATTCTTCATACCCTCCCTGTCTCACTACACACACAGACACACACACACACATACACACACACACACTCACCATGGCATGTCAACATTTAATTTCACCGTAGGCTGAGCAAAGATGATCTAGGAGAACCAGAGAAAATGTGAGGTGTTTACACATACATTGATGAAACAAAAGCTCTTTAAAGAGTTTATGGAAAATACATATAATGAAAAAGCCATGCATGTTTTTCAACAAATTCTTGCAACTAAATAAACTTGTTTTAATTCCATTTTCCATGACCTATTTGAAGTCCCCTTATATGTGTAAGGTATTTCATTAGAATATTAAATGTCATGAAAGGAAAGAAGGAGAAGAGGAAAGAAGGAGGAAGGAGGGAGGGAAGGATTTAAGGAAGGAAGGGAGGGAGGAAGGAAGGAGGGAGAGGGAGGGAGGCAAAGAGACTGGAGAGAGGAGGGAATGAAAGGGGAAAGGAAAAATTAGGGGAGGAAGTAGGGGGAAGGAGGATGAGAGACAGAAAAGAAAGGAAGAGAAGGAGAGAGAATTCAATGTGATAGTTAATTGTGTATCTCTCCTACTTTCATTTATCATTTATGCTGAAACCATATTATATTTTTATAGCATTTAATTTTCCCCGACCATAAAAAGCAATATCTATTGATTAAACTGAAGAATGGTATAAAATATGTAAAAAGCATCTGGAGATGAACTTGAAAAACATTATGAATTCTAACAATGTTTCACTCTTATTTGTAGTTTTGTTCCTATAGAAACCTTACTTCAAAACTATTAATTACAGAATTTGACCAATAGTATTAAGTAGAACAAACAAACAAAAAAATACTAAAAGGGATAAAGTATTTAAGTTGTTCATGAACAGTCAGGGCAAGGGCTGATCAAGTCACCATTTCTCATAGTGTTCATTTCACTTCACCAGGTTTCCTTTGCTTGGTTAGTTGTCCCCGATCAGGGAGAACATATGATATTTGTCCCTTTGGGACTGGCTTAATTCACTCAGCATGATGTTTTCCAGATTCCTCCATCTTGTTGCAAATGACCGGGTTTCATTGTTTTTGACTGCTGTATAGTATTCTATACAGTACATATCCCATAATTTCTTTATCCAGTCTACTGTTGATGGGCATTTGGGTTGATTCCAGGTCTTAGCTATTGTGAATTGAGCTGCAATAAACATTGAGGTGCAGACCACTTTTTTTGTTTGCCAATTTAATTTCCTTTGGGTTAGATTAATGACATATGCACTTTTTTATTTTAATTGATAATGAGTACATTTTCTTTGCTATTAAATATTATTTTACTATGATGACTTTTGGATTCAATGAAAATTGAGAACTGCCATTCTGCATTGTCTTGACCAATGCTAATCACGGTTGTAAGAGATTAGATTAGGTGACTGTTAATGAGTGCTCACGGTATGCAGAAGTGTGCTCAGTTCTATGCTGTATGAATCCATCAAATCGTCCCAGCAACACCATGAGGCTTGGGGCTCTTGTTCTCCTTTAGCATGAGGAATTCGAGACGCAGAGCCGTCTTCAACTCCTCTCGGTCACGCATCAGCTGGCGGTGCAGCCAGCATCAGAACCCAGCTCATGAGAGACTGGCCATCTAAGGAGCCTACACACGCACATTCGAAGCAGCCCGCACTTTATTTAAAGGAGAGCATTTTTCCCATGTTTAACAACCTCCATACACTTGGGATCAAAGCAGTTTTAAGCATAGCCACGGCTGCTTTTCCCCAGCGGGACTTCAGCGGGTGGAGCCCTACAGGGACATGGGCAGGTGGGCATGGGCAGCGGAAGATCTGCGCTTGCCTGCAGTCAGCCAGGTGGTCATTGCCTTGTTTCTCATTCACTCCCGTGACTCAGGAAGCAACCAGCTTGGCCCCATCTACGGCCACACGTCCGTGATGACGGGCAGCCTGCTGGACGACCACCACTGGCACTCCGTGGTCATCGAGCGACAGGGACGGAGCATCAACCTCACCCTGGACAGGAGCATGCAGCACTTCCGCACCAACGGCGAGTTCGACTACCTGGACCTGGACTACGAGGTACGCAGGGGAGCCAGCCGCACCTGTTCCCGGCTGTGACTATTGTGCCCGCCTGCACGCGGTCCCTTTTCTCTCCAAAGAAAGAGGAACCGTTCTAGGATAGTATGAAACTGTGTCATTTTGTTTATTTCTAAAACGCTGACCATGAAAATTTGAAATATTTTTTAAAAATATTAGTAGCAAAGCAATAATGTAAAGGTGGTAGACCCTGCTGTGAGGGACATTTAATAAGTTCCGAGTGAATTTGGTTTGTCCTCTTTACCCTGGTATTTGCGGCAGCTACTCCTCTTGAGCTGTGTCATGTACAGTGTGGTCCAGCGTGTGTTGTAAAACATCGAGCACAAATTCCTGAGTTCTGGTTTCTGTTTATTTATAAATTCATGATTGTTGGTAGGTCTTTTGGCAAGTTTTATCTTCTCACGTATAAATGTCATTAAATAAATAAAGTAAAATAAAGAATATTTAAAGACATTGTCATAAATCGAAAGACTTTTACCATCTAGAGATTAAAAATGATGATCACATTGACCCTGCAAATATATATATTTATATATATTTATTTTTATATCCTCATAATATACTAGTAGGCATATTAGGTCTTTTAATACATTATTTGGAGAGCAATTCAACCTTAAAATGCTCATCAAACCTTTTATTCAAATATGTGAGTAAGTCTGTTTTAAGATTTTCATCATGGTGTGCACACAGTAGGAGAAAAAGGAAGCACTAAATGTACAAAAACATCATAAAATTCAAATAGATGTGCTGAAATATTATTTTGCCAGAATTTTCCAAAATTTCTCATAGACAGCTTAGTTGCATGAATAGTATTTCCACATCATCCCTAGGCCATTGGATCCAAATGACTTAAAAAATTATGTCCTGACACTTTGGTAGCCATTTGACAATAAATATATTCTGCCTCATTCTTATTGGCAATTCGTATTCATGGAATGAGTACACTGTACCTTATCAGATTTTGGAATCAAACTTGATGCTGCTCTTCTCGTTTTCTTTTCCACTTTTTACTTTCTGTGATACTCCTTACTTTTATCAAAGGAAAAACCAAGAACCCGGCTTCAAAAACAAAGGCCATCATCAGAAGGAATGCGGCATGATCTAATATTCGAATGGTAAACCAGCACAGGCTAGGGTTCCCCAGTGTCCAAAGAATGTCAAGTATTGTCATGTTTCCTCAAAAAATAAAAGAACATATTCTGGAGCACCCTTGTGAGTTCGCTGTGCCATTTTACTGTTCCTTAGAGACGAGTGTTGAAGTTGCAGCTGCATGTGTGCAGATGTGTCTGTTATCCAATTTTATTTATAAATTTCTCTTTAAATTATTTCTTCATTTTCATTTAATTTGAAAATCAGAGAGACGGAGAGAGAGAGAGAGAGCTTCCATCCACTGGTTCACTGCCGACATGCCTGCAACATGGCTGGACCAGGTCAAAGCCAGGAGTCAGGAACACTACCCAGGTCTCCCACGTTGGTGGCAGGGACACAAACATTTGAGCCAACACTTGCAGCCTCCCAGCTGTGCAACAGCCTGAAACTGGGATGGAATTAGAGCCAGTACTCAAACAGGCACTGTGTCCCTGAAATCGCAGTGCTTCGGTTCTTCCAGTGTGGTCTAAGCAAAGGGCCTAGAGGCTGAAGGCAGGGGTGTGCCAGTAAGTGCTTACTAACCTGCTCTCTCTAAGGGAGAAGAGAAGGAAGGTCTTGATGTAGCATTTGAGGATTTTCATGGTGCAAAATCCCCGCCATGGTTGCTTTCATGCTACTAACATGACAGTACTCAGTAAAGGGGTTGGCCAGATGAGCACAATAGCACATCATTTTGCAGTATTTCCTTCATAGGGACATAAATATAACCTCATATATGACAGTAAAATTTAGAGGTGAATGCTGTATTGTTATTTTCTATTTAATGTAATTTGTTTACATTAATCTCCATATAATATAATTGAAAGAGTAGTTACGTTTAAACTCAGTTCTCATGAGCCATTATGAGAGGAAGGATCCAGCGCAGCAATGCTAAGGGTAGAATAAATGTTCCTATCACCAACCCCAGAGATGTGCAGCTTGGAGGAAACGAGAGAATACCACTTTGCTTCTTTGGCATAAGTCAGTGTGGAGGTTGCCTAAGCGTTCCCTTTCTGTTTTAGCCAGGCACACCGCAGAGTGGGCCGATCACCATTTGCAGCCAGCTGTGAGCTAATGGTGGCCTGGGAGGAGAGCAGTGATGCACAGATGCACTTCACCATGCTCCCCCCTCCCAGCCAACAAAACCAAAGGCGGGAGAAGCTAACTGCTGCCTGGCCTGCACAGCCTCCCTTCTTCAGTCAGTTCTGGGAGACACCTGCTCTGCGTACTGTGCCCTTATCCTTTGCAGTGTAGCTCTCTTTGGGAAGTAGAGGAATGGCTCTCCCTCATCCACTACAGAACCGCAAACCAGCAAGGATGGTGGAGCCAATCAATCACATAGACTCAAATGGGAGCAGAAGCCTGAATCTGAATCTCGTTCTGCCTCTTAGTTATTGAATTCCAGTGGATAGTTCTTATTCTCCTCTGCAATTAATATCATGGTGTATTTCTCACAGGTTTATGTGAGGAGTCAGCAGAAGTGTGTCTGTGTGCATAGAGCTTACACACAAGATCAGTTAGGCTGTGTGCAGTAGACGCATGGCTGTCCTCATTCATATAAGAGCCATCTGGGGTCTCGTTCCACGGCAGCTCCATAGCAGTCCTCTTGTATCTCTCTGCTGCTCTGTCCATGCGCCTGCTGGACGTTCACTTCAGAATGGCTGCTCACATTCCACTTGGCCTTCCACCCAGCAGCAGAACGAGAGCAGATAAGCTTGTGTCCTCCCCATTTGACAGCAGCTCTTGGAGTCACACACAGCCCTTATAACTAAATATCATGAGACCAAAACGAGTTTCAAAGAGGCTGCTAAATGTTGTATATCAACTATCCAGCTGAAAAGCATAAATTTTGCCTTAAAAAGGTGAGAAAAAGCACACCTAGAGTATGTAGTAGTCTCTGTGCTATCTCTGTGTGAGTCTGTATCATGCTGTGTAAATACATTGTAGCTCACAAAATTGCTAATGCAATTATTTATTTAGAGGTATGATTATTGGATGGTAATAACAGTAATAACTCCACTGTATGAACTGTATAAATACCTAATTAGTAAACTGACAAATGCAACAATTTTATTTATTATCAGAATAATAATACCAGAATAGATTTTGTGGTCCAACCAGTTTATTTTACCTTGAGAATACATTACTAGGAATAGTGATATGCTTATATTTGATTGATTACAATAGGGATTGGGATCAGAATCCACTTAGTTGTAAGGAACCTGCTCACTTGAGCCTGTGATCCTTCCTGAAAATCTCGCTGGTGATGTGCAATAAGTGCCTAGGGCTCCTGAAATCAGAGAAACTCTAAGGAGCATTGGAATCAGCACCCCAAAACCAATGAACGTCTCCAATTAAAGAGACTGCGCACAGAGGGAGCAAGACAATACTTTAACACTGGCATTTAATAATTTTATTCAAAATGTAATGTTGTATGTCATTAAGGAGAAGATGTTTTTTGCTATCAATCGGGGCAAAATTCATAAAAGATCGTATAGGGTAAGGTAATTGGGGATTAGTGGGTAAGGCTGATGGCCCAAGTGCCTGAGCCTCTGCCACCCATGTTGTAGACCTGGAAAAGGCTCCTGGCTCCTGGCTTTGGCCTCACTCAGCTCTGGCCATTGCAGCCATTTGAGGAGTAAACCAGTGCATGCAAGATCTCTGTCTGCCTGTCTGTCTCTCTGTCTCTCTCTCCCTTGCCCCCAATCTGACTCATCCTATCTCTGTATGTCTGACATCTGACTTTGAAATAAAAATGAGTCTTTAAAAAATGTATAAACAGGAAACAGGGCACTCCATTTTGTTAGTACTAATTACCACATTTGGTATTAGTTAGGAGTATGCAATGCCTAATAAAATCTTTTCAGTGCAACTTTAAATATTTCCCCATTAATTCTAAAATTTTAGATTTTACTATTTCTTGTAGCTTTCTAATTTTCTGTGTGTATCTATATTTGTGTGTATTTCCTCAATATTACCCTATTCTTCCTATACATGAACATCCTGACAAACTGTTTATATTCAGTTAACCATTGTTAATAAAAAAATTATTTTTAGTGAGGATCTTTTTCATAATGCCTCATAAACCAACATTATTTTGTGTCTTTTTTCCTACAAAAATAATTATTAAAATGCCAGTTCACTCGCTGAAAAACCTCCTAAAACACAAACATCTTTGCCTTTGGTTTCCAATAAGAGATCCTGACTTCTTAAGGTGTCTTTGACTATTTCAATTGCTTTAAGAAATACACAAGAAAAACTAATAATTGTATATATTGACTAATAATTTATTTTTAAGTATCTTGATTGTGCAGCTGTGATTAATAGCTTGATTTTATGCTATAAATCTACTATTAGTACTAACTGCCATTATTAGCAATATATTAAGTATAATTTTGTAGCATATGAATTTAATGCCACTATACTCTAACTTGGATGAAGACAAATGGAAAAATGCATACCCTCCTTCTATAAGCAGTTGTCCCCAGAGCAAGTCTTTAAGAAGCCTCGACTTTACTCCTTAGGATTTGGAAAACCTATAATATCATTTAGGACATATTGTTCAGCTTAAAGTGCACAAGTCCTCAGAAGCCTCCAATCAATCTACTAATGATACTTTTGAGCTAGTTTCTGTATTCAAATAAACTTAACAAACTTTTGACTGCAATGATCATTTGACCACACTAAGTCTACAGAGAGTAAATACAATATTCCTTGCTTTGGGCTGTAATTTTATCAGCTTATTACATTAGGGCTGATTATCTCAAGATTACTCGAGGCACTTATTGATAGTATGTCTTTGAATGATAAACATGAAAATATATTTTTAACATTACTTGATAAAATAAGTTTGCTGGATAAAATCTTTTAAAGTGTTCTCAGAAAAATTTATGCAATACCTTAAGGTTAATAAAGATGCAAGGGATTTTTGCAATTTGTTGTTTGCTTTTTGATGTAATTGTCAGAATGAATGATTCATTTACACAGTCCAGTAACAGAATGAAATGAAATATGTGACATATTTTGGAGGCAGAATATTATGTTTGTATATTTTGATGGAAGTAAAAAAAGATATGTGACCTTGGCTGTAGTCATTGTTTTATCTGGAGTGTTGTATTGCCATGTAACTTTTTACATTTTTTTTTAATTGAAGATAACCTTTGGAGGCATACCTTTCTCCGGCAAGCCAAGTTCCAGCAGCAGAAAGAATTTCAAAGGCTGCATGGAAAGCATTAACTATAACGGCATCAACATTACTGATCTGGCCAGAAGGAAGAAATTAGAACCATCAAATGTGGTAAGAATCTTACACCTCAAAGTATCAGTCTACAAAACATTGAAGAACTTTTTTGGATTTTTATTGGGTATTGATCAACTACCATAAAAGTAGCATTTTTCATCATGTTTATGTTGGACTCAACAATTAAAAAAATACTTTTGAATTATCTGGAATTGTATGATTCTTGATATACCTGGAGAATAGATAATAGCTCCTGAGGTAACCTGGCCTGGACTCTGGAGCAGGCTTTGTTCAAGCAAGACACCAGCCTGTGATGCCCGGTGTTTCCGGGATCCAGTCATCGGCAAGCAGTCATCCTTGCAGGAGCTTCGTGCTGGCAGCTTAGCAGCCCTTACGTTGGCAGTGTCACATTTCCAAGTGTTCTTTATGTCTGCTCTGTGTTTCTTGCTCGTGGTTTAATTCAATATCTTAAAGTTTTTAAACCAGGAACTTCACTGTATTCATTTTCGTACATCCTAGGATAATTTGTTCAAATATGTAAATACCTTTGTGTCAAAGTTCTAATCATACAGAATATTAAACAATTAAATAAAACTTGATTAAAAGCATGCTACCATTGGACTGTGAAAGCTGTACCATATATATATATATATGTATACATATATATATATGAAAAAAAAACACCTATATACTCAGATGGGGATTTCCCTTATTGTGGTTACATTTGATTTTTGGAGATGGCTACAGGTTGTACAAAACCAAGTCCACTAAAATAGAATCTTGGATTAAAATAAAATGATATGGCTGAAACTAATGAGAAAAAACATTAGAAATGGAGAGAAAAGTCACATATAACATTTCATAATATGCATGTTCTATGAACTTTTTGAAAACCTTGTATGTGCCTAACTTTCCAAATTTTATTGTTCTAAGATTACTTTATTGTTAAATGCTACTTTGGGGCCAGTGCTGTGGCACACTGGGATAAGCTGCCACTTACAGTGGCATCCCATGACAGAGAACCAATTCAAGTCCAGTTTCCTGCTAACAATGCCTGGGAAAGTAGCATCATCCATGGGTGAGATCTGGATGGAATTCCAGGCTCCTGGCTTCAGCCTGGAACAGCTATGGCTGCCACAGCCATTTTGGGAGTGAACCAGTGGATGAAAGATTGATCTCTCTTTCTCTCTCTCTCTCTCTCTCTCTCTCTCTCTCTCTCTCTCTCTGTGTGTGTGTGTGTGTGTCTCTCTCTATCTCTCTTTCTCTTTCTCTGTCTCTCTCTATGTATATATTTTACAAAAAATAAGTCTTTTTTTTAAAGAAATTGCCTTAACTCCCCACTTCCCCCACTCACAACACATCAGACCCCTAAAGATATTAACAAAAAGTCATTGTCATAGGGTGCCTATGATTATGCAAGACCAGAAACTATTTCAAACCCCAGAAATCCATATGGTTGGGAGCCATAGCCATTGGAAGAGAGAATCCCATGAGTGCTTGCACTAAAAATAAACTCTGAAAATCTATATCATGGCCCCAAATTTGAGCCTCGGATTTTCATAAAGTTTTGGACAAATGGTGATCTCTGAATGAATACATGGAGTTCAGACTGTACATAATAAGCTATAAAATAATAATTCAATATTAAATGATTATTTAATAAATATCTCTTGAAAGAAATAAAATTATAATAATAATCAAAAGTTGAATTTGATGAAATTTTCCCATACAGTACATAAATAATAGAGGAAGCATATTAAGAGCTCCATTTATAGGTAATAGACCCTGTGGTAGGTATGTTACAAACATTTATGGTAATCTGAGAACCTTACTGTGAGAAAGATATCAATATTCTGTAGGTAAAAAAAATTGAGACTTAATCTGCAGATGTTGTCGCTCCCCGTCTTCGTGGAGGAACGACACAGGACCCTGCGCTGTTCTTTCGTCTGCTCGGCCCTTCCCGGGTTTGCTGCTGGTTCTTCCCGGGTTGGCTACCATCCCTTCCACCTCCGTGGAAGGGCGGTTCCCCCTGCCACATTCCCCACTTCCGCGGGGGAGCGGCACACCGCCGGCCGGCTCTCTCGGGGGCTGCTCAGATGTTATTCGGATAGATGTTCCCCTTAGATGTTCCTGGTGCATGTTGTCTCTCTCCTCCTTTATAGTCCTCTTCCACCAATCCCAACTCTGCTACCCACACGCCGAGTACGCTGCTCTCCTCCAATCAGGAGCAGGTCCTGCTGTTTATTGGTTGAACTGGAGGCAGCTGTGTAGAAGTTGTTACCTCCTCTCCCAGCGCCATATTGTGGGAGAGCAGATGCATAGAATAAGTCTTAATTCCAGTAACTTAGTCTAGTCCGAGTTGCTCCCAGTTGCTCCCCACAGATGTAACTTCCCAAGACGACTGTGATGGCATGTGGGTTGCACCTTCACAATATATGACTCCCAAGGTCATGGTCTTCTTCCATGCTATCTTCTGTCTTTTCTAGAAAAATATGCTTGTATATACACTGTTTTAAACTTTGCATAAAATGGTTCTAAAATGGTTTCTCAGAAATTGTTGCTGAAGACAAAAAGGCACAGAATTCAGATCATCAGAATCCTGTTTCTGTTATTGCTCACCTTTCAGAAGAGGTGAAATGTTATTTCTGCCCAACCTCACTGCTGGTCCTGGGAGTGTTCCTTTGCTGCTCAGACTATGCAGAACCCTACTGAGCAGATTCATTCCAAAATGAAGTTGAATTGCAAAATATATTGTGCCTTAAATCCTGTTTCAAACTTGAATATCAAAAATATTTTGTAAAGCTTAAAAAATTATAAGTATATTCCTTTTAACAAATATATTCATGGGCATAGAAGAAACTTCTAAATACACACACACACACACATACACACAATCTGAAAACCTTAGGCCAGAAAAGAAATGTAGGACATTTTGCAAACAAAGGCAAATATTTATGTAAGAAATTTGTTTTCAGATATGTCAGCTGCTGATTGTTCATTGCAACTGATCAGCACTGATCCTACTCCCTCTCCCATACACTCATTCCCGCATTGAGCACTTACTACGGAGTCAGCACATTATCCAGGAAAGACCTTTAATTTTGCTTGAGAGACCATTCTTCCAACACATGTATGTGGTCAGTTATAACATCTCAATTATTAAGAACAGGCAGTTCTCATTGGTATAAGCAACCACTTGAAAATAATCATCTGCGAAGGTACATAGCGATTTTAATTTGAATATTAATTCAAGGAGACAATCATCCTTACATGTAATGCTCCATATGCTAAAATGGATTAACCAGATATCTGGCATAAAAGTGTGATGTTGTAAATAATTCATATATATATATATATACATATATTCATATGTATGTAAGTATTTATAGGGAAGTACTTAATGAAAGTGTCATCAAATTACATTTACTGAAATTATATGGCAGGATAAAAGAAGTAGGTAGCAACTTTAGATTTTCATATAAGGGAAGGTACTTATGCACTGGAATGTGAAAGTCAGTGTATATGAGTTGCAAACAAATTTTTATGCCAAAAAGGAAGACTATGGTAGGGAGGAGAAAGCCTGAATTATTGCATATTTTCTTTTCATTTTGTACACTTTTCCACAAGCATTAATGCATTATATAAGCACACTTTATGAGAATTTAATGGGATTTTGGGTTGTATAACAAAATAATATGAAGTAAATACAATTGCACTGATGCTAAGTAGTTAATATTAACTAACATTTGTTAGATATGCAGATAAAAGACAAGGATATGTCCCCCTAAATATCTGTTTAATAATCAGCAAACAAGTAGCCCTTGTTCCCACTGGGACCTGGGTAACAGATGTACTGGCTTGGACCTCGCAAGCAGACAGGGACTTCTCTCTCCCAGCTGGTGCCCCGCCAGCAACAGCTTTGCTGCCTGCAGAACCTTCAGGGGTCTACACTCACAGCCACAACACAGGTACACCTGTCGCATCCTGTGGTCAACCCATCGCGGCAGGCTGTCAAGTTGTCAATCCCTTGATGGATGGTGCTTGTTACACCCTCAACTAGATGGTCAGTGGCTGTGCAATGCTAGATCTTACCTGCCCAGCAAATCCAGAAAGATCCACCCACTTGCTGAATCCATGCTGTTCCACCATGTCAGTGTTTGGCAGAAGCTCAAGCCCTGCTTCAACAATGTACAGAACGATAGCTCTGCAAACAGTCTAATGTGGATGCTCATGTCGTTTCCTATCTGCCTTTCTGTTTTATAGGGAAATTTGAGTTTCTCCTGTGTGGAGCCCTATACGGTGCCTGTCTTTTTCAATGCTACGAGTTACCTGGAGGTACCTGGACGGCTTAACCAGGATCTGTTTTCAGTCAGTTTCCAGTTCAGGACCTGGAACCCCAATGGTCTCCTGCTCTTCAGTCAGTTTGCAGATAACCTGGGCAACGTGGAAATCGACCTGACAGAGAGCAAAGTGGGGGTCCACATCAACGTCACCCAGACCAAGATGAGCCAGATAGATATTTCCTCAGGTCAGTGACATCTCTTTGACATTTGCACCTGAAACTGCCTTGGCAGATTCCAAAGCTGTGGCTGTGTTGTGTTTTGTTGGTGTTCTGTGATCATGATTATGTTTCAGTTCACTTATTTGAGATACATGGTGACACTGTGTGCTGGTTGAATAATGGAATCTTGGGAAATTGTTGAAAGGGTAAGGCAGCGTTGGGTGAGATTGTGTTAGTGCGTCGATATCATCTATTCATTACAAACGCTAGTCCATGTTTATAGAGAAATTGTTATTCTAAGTGAATATTTTAGGCTTAAAACAGAGACTCTATTTTAATAACATGACAGTATCTGGTATCTTTTGACTTCATGAACGTTCAAATACCTATAAAATTTTAACAAGCTTATATTGATTTAATTATACCTTTCAAGGAAGAGTTTTCAGATACCTGAATCAAAACTCCAAAGTGACCTCTCTAAAATTAGGCAAATTGTTGGATAAAAATAAAAACGAATGCAAACTGGAATGACAAAGTGAAGGTATCAACTGAGGGGAAGACTTGTTGACTAAACGTAGTCATTTTTAAACTTGGTATTGTAGTGATAACGTAGCTGATGCTTAAATAATGTTGTTAGTTAAAGACTTACCAATCCTGGAATAGTCTTTTATTATTAATACTGTGTCATCAAAGTTATTTTACACACTTAGATGTTTACAAAAAGAAAAATAAATCCAATATGGCAATGAAAAATAATATAATTTCCATAGATGCTCCTTGTGAAATTTGTGCTTATCTTAAAATAGGAGATGGCAAGAAAACTAACATTTACTGAGACCCTCCTGCAGAGAAACCCAATGCTGGGGGAGGGAGTGGTAACAGGGAATCTGGGCAGCTTCCCCATGGCTCTGAGTGCCATACAGGCCATGCTCCTGCGTCACACCCTACGCATGAACTTGCCACAGCTTCCAACACATCAGCTCTGTGTTTACCTTATTGCCCCAGTAGGCTGAAAGTTCCTTTAGAACATGGACCATACCTGTTCTTGTAACTCGAGTGTATAGAACTGTACCTGTAATAGAAGAGGTGCTCCAGAAACTTTTGCTGAATTCAACGCTCAATCTTTGAACTAATATTCAGAAACAAAGTATTTCCTGCTAATGGATATCTCTTTCCTCTAAAATAGGCTCTCTGTTTCTGTGTAGCCCCACTCTAAGGATTATTACTGGAAACCTATTCAAAGAAGATATAAGAACTGTTATGTCAGATGTGTGCCTGAATTATTGAAATCTAAAGCTATCGTGGAAACCTCACTTTGTTTTTGCTTTGTTAGTTTTACATTCTCCCTGAATGTTTAGTCAGAATGATGGATCAACCATATTTTATCATTGCTTCCCAGAACAAGTTCACCGGGAGAGATTTAGAGCAAGTAGAAAATATCTAGAAAGACCAAATAATAGACAAAACAAATACACATACAAATGTGTACCACAGAAAAACTTCCTACTGTTAATGGTAAATCATACTTTCCTAACCACTAAACACTAAAAGCATGAGTATGAAGTCCTCCCTCCTGGCACTGTCTGAGGAAACCCAACTTTGTTTCTGGATTTCCATCTGACACAGGCTATGAAAAATGAAATAATAACTTCTTAACCATGGTGATCAATAAACATTGATTAATGTTATTTGCCTCATTTAGGACTCCAACATAGTCTCATTCTAATTTAAGCTATGTTCATTTAAAAAAATAGAAAAATGCAAAGATCTCCAAAGTGTGACAACAAATTTATTGTAATATATTTTCCTGAAGGTGATGAAAATGGAATTTAGAAATTTTTGTCAATTTAGCTATAAATCTAGATAACCTTGACTTCACAGACTGCAAATTAAAGGAACCTGGTATAAATTATAAGCATTTCTATGGCCCACTATGACATAGTTAAATGAAATTGCCTTAATATTTCAAATATTTTTTTTCTTATATGCATAGTGGAAACTAAGGTTTAATTATCACCACTCACATTCGAAGAAGAGTAGTTAAGTAATTTATATACATCCATTAAAATAATTTTATCCTGGGGGCCAGCGCCATGGCACAGTAGGTTAATCCTCTGCCTGCAGCGCCGGCATCCCATATGGGCACCGGTTCTAGTCCCGGCTGCTCCTCTTCCAATCAGCTCTCTGCTGTGGCCTGAGAAAGCAGTAGAAGATGGCCCAAGTCCTTGGGTCCCTGCACCCACAGGAGACCAGGAAGAAGCTCCTGGCTCCTGGCTTCAGATTGGCACATTCCGGTCATTGCGGCCGTTTGGGGAGTGATCAACGGAAGGAGGACCTTTCTCTCTGTCTCTCCCTCTCACTGTCTGTAACTCTACCTCTCAAATAAATAAAGAAAATCTTTAAAAAAAATATTTTATCTTGTACTAATTCATTCATGCTAAAAATACTTGTGGAGTCCATAAAACGCAATTCATCATTTGATTTCTTTTAAAGATTTTATTTATTATTTATTTGAGAAGTAGAGTTACAGACAATGAGAAGGAGAGACAGGGAGAAAGGTTTTCCATCCACTGGTTCACTCCCCAGATGTCAGCAATGGGCAGAGATGAGCTGATTGGAAGCCCGGAGCCAGGAGCTTCTTCTGGGTCTCCCACACAGGTGCAGTGGCCCAAGCATCCTCTGCTGCCATCCCTGACCATAGTAGACAGCTGGATTGGAAGAGGAGCAGCCGGGACTAGAACCAGTGCCCATATGGGATGCTGGCACCACAGGCAGAGGATTAACTCTGCCACAGCACCGACCCCCATCATTTGATTTTACCCAGTTAATTTAAAAAGCAACGATGAGAAAATAGTTAACCCAATATCCTTTCCATGTCTATTCTGTTTTTAATCAGCATGAACATTGAAAAATGTCAATTTTTATTTCTTGTTTCACATAGCTTGCTTTGAAATATTTCAAAAATGCAGAAAGTCTAGTGCCATCTCACTATTCCAAGTGATCAATTTCAGTTCACAATTGATCATAATGAAAGGACTAAGAGACAAAGGGAGCACATAAACAAGTCTAGTACCTGCTAACACTAACCGATGGAATAAATAAAGGGGAGAGTGATCCAACATGGGAAGTGAGATACTCAGCAGACTCATAGAATGGCAGATGTCCTAAATAGCACTCTGGCCTCAGAATCAGCCCTAAAGGCATTCGGATCTGGCTGAAAAGCCCATGAGAGTATTTCAGGCATGGAAAGCCAAGACACTCTGGCAAAAGATCTCTGCGAGTGAGATCCCAGTGGAAAGAACAGGTCTTCAAAGAAGGAGGTACCTTTCTCTGAAGGGAGGAGAGAACCTCCACTTTGACTATGACCTTGTCTAAACAAGATAAGAATCGGAGAACTCAGAGGGCTTCCATAGCCTTGGAAACTCATGACTGGAGCATAGGGAGACTACTGATGCCATAGACAGGAGTGTCAATTGGTAAAATCAACAACAGGAGTCACTGTGCACTTACTCCTCATGTAGGATCTCTGTCCTCAATGTGCTGTGTATTGAGATTTAATGCTATAACGAGTACTCAAACAATATATTTCAATATATTTCACTTTGTGTTTCTATGCGGGTGCAAACTGTTGAAATCTTTACTTAATGTATACTAAACTGATCCTCTGTAAAAAAAAAAAAAAAAAAAAAAAAAGAAAGAAAGAAAGAAATTATCAACTCCCAACTTGACTCTCACTGGGATTAAACATGACAATAGGTCTGATCTGATTTCATCATCATTAAAAAAAAATCGTCTATTATTTTTCACTTTATGTTTCTGTGTGGGAGCAAACTGTTGAAATCCTTACTTAATGTATACTAAGCTGATCTTCTGTATATTAAGATAATCGAAAATGAATCTTGATGTGAATGGAAGGGGAGAGGGAGTGGGAAAGGGGAGGGTAGTGGGTGGGAGGGACGGTATGTGGGGGAAGCCATTGTAATCCATAAATCGTACTTTGGAAATTTATATTCATTAAATAAAAGTTAAAAAAAAAAAAAGAAGTGGAGCAGCCGGGACTTGAACTGGCATCCATATGGGATGCCAGCATTGCAGGCGGCGGCTTTACCCACTATGCCACAGTGCCAGCCCCTACACATTATCTTTATTAATAATAAGTAGTAATAAAAAAACTAGAAGCTGAAAAGGGTCTAGTGGATAACATCTGTTCATTCTATATACAATGTTATTTTAACTTTCAGTTGAAAAGCCTGTTTGAAAGGGGACCTAAAACTGTGCTTTTCAAGCAATTTTTATCAAAACACAATAAGAAAAAACTTGTGTCAAACTCAAAGCCTGCTGACAGAGGTTCATAACATGAACTTTACCATGCTATTGTACTTTTTGAAGAGTTATTTACTTATTTATCTGAAATGCAGAGTGACAGAGAGAGAGGGAGAGACTGAGAAGAGGGATCTTCCCCTTGCTGGCTCACTTCCCAAATGCCTGCAATAGTCAAGGGTGGGCCAGGCCAAAGTCAGGACCCAAAACTCCCTCTGGGTCTCCTCTGTGGGTGGCAGGGAATCAAATACTTGATTCGTCATTGACTGCCTCCCAGGCACATTAGCAGGAAGCTGGGTCATAAGCAGAGCAGTCAGGCCTGAAACCAAGCTCTCTGACAGACAACCTGTGCATTCCAACAGGCAGCGTAAAATGCTGCCCCACAACATCAGCCCCTTGCCTTGCTATTTATACCCTATAAAAATTTCTACACTTTTTTTTGCTTATGTTGAAAAAGTTGCCATGACCCTACAATGATTCATGTCTAAAAACAGTTTAGAAAACTTAGATTACTGTTTTGTCTTTTCATTTAAAATATTGGAATTTTTAAAGATTTTAGTTATCTGGGTGCATTTTTTCCCATAACTGCTCATTGGAAGATAAAATATACATTCCAGGAACCATATTGTAGTATCATAGTGACAGTAAAAAATAATAAAGTTTATTCCTCTATGATGTATTGCCAAAATGAAAAAAAAAAAAAACTA